GCGACGCCCAATGTGGTGTCGCTTGGTGTCAGTTTGACGCGAGAAATTATAGCATCTTGGCCAATGTGAGTGCCTGTGATTATTTGAGCGCGGAATATGCGAGTGCCGAGAGAAGTTACGCGTAGGCGAGTTCCGTTCACTCAACCGTCGGCCGGAGACATATTGCGAATCAGAATGACAATGGCGCCGACTCGGAGGCGAAGTTTATGTGGAGGCAGGCCAGCCACTTCAACGTGATTGAGCAGTTCGATGGGGTAATCTACAATCGCTTCGGCTGATGGATCGATTAATTTATCATCAGAAAAGTAAATTCGCTGGTCTCCTTCCAGAGAATCTAATATAAGATTATTAACGTAATCGCAGTGGTCGTTACGTGGGCAGAGTAAAGCATGGTCCGGGTTTGGCTGAGCAAGGTTATTGTCATATACCCAGTGAATGAGATCCTGCGGGGAACCGTGGAATAATAAATCAGCCGGAATACTCGTGATGTCTGTGTCGGGGACGTTTGCTGATCCATTGCCGATAGTCAGCAGGTAGTCGGCGAAATCTTGTTGGCCGGGTCCAATTCGCATGTTCTGCGTAAGGTGGATAATTTTGAAATGCGGCCATAGAGGACTACTACGTATGGACTCGGCGATGTTCCAGACAGCAGGAGCATTAGGAATTATGTTCGAGCCAGCAGGAGCATTAGGAACTATTGGAGCGCATTGTCTGAAATCACCGCCCAGCAAAATGATTTTGCCACCGAAGGGCCTCTCGGAGTTTCCTGTCAAATCTTTGAGTATGCGATCCATCGCCGTAAGAGCCCGCCGTTCGCACATGGACGCCTCGTCCATAATAATGAGTCTTGCAGCCATCAAACGTTGGCCTGCGGCACTGGCACGGCTTACGTTGCAATTAGAATGTTCGGTGAGGGGAACCGGTAGTTTGAAGAAGTAATGGGAGGTACGGCCGCCAGGCAATAGAAGGGCCGCTATTCCGGTCCACGCGGATGGGATGACGACGTGTCCATTATTTCTGAAATGTTGTATGAGGGCCTTGTATATAAACGTTTTGCCAGTGCCACCTGGACCATCCAGAAAGAAACATGTAGGGCCTGTGTACGACGAACTTAGGGTGTTTAAAATAGCATTATACGCTGTGAGCTGCCCCGTATTTAGCCGACTAACATATTCCTCATTAGGCACGACATACTCATCGAATGGAGCCATTTGACGGAGAGCGGTAGCCGGTGGTTCCGGGAAGTTTAAATTCGTCCAGTCAACCATATTAGCCTCTGCGATCAATCTTATGTCACGTAGACCATGCGCGAAGCGAAGACTGTCGTCGGTGCCATAGATACGGATGAGGTCATGCGTAAGTTCCTCTTTGTGCTGTTCCCACATTGAAGCGCCGTTGGGTGGACGGGTCAGGGCAAGTAGTTGTCCGAAGAGGACGTCAGGGCAAGTAGTTGTCCGAAGAGGACACGAAAAGCCCGCGGATGTTGGCATTGCGCGGCTTCGTCTAAGGTCTCCTGGAAGGCAGTACCACTATCGATCAGTCCGCGTGCGTGGCATGCTTCTTGAGCGGAGGCGTACACTCTACCTTCGTAGGAAAAGAGTTCGTCCCAGTTGCGCGGACCCTTAACATGATGGAGCAAAATCCGAGTTGCAGCCAATTCCGGGTTATTCGGTGGGACTTGGAATATTCTACCAATTCGGTTCGATTGTCGAACTCCGGCGGTCCACTTTTTTGCCTG